AGTATGAATGACACTAACAGACCAAATGAGGGGGAATATGTGTGTGTGACTCTAGAATAACAATACATAAGATGCCATAAGATTCCCTCTCTATTGTCTTGAGGGGGTATTTATAGGATAATGAGGTATCAACCTGGAATGGGTAGGTGTAGAGGGTCAACCCTCTTCGGGGAGTGCCAAGGGTGGCTGACACTGTATCGGTAGCACTGGGGAAGCTTCTGCATCATAGGTGGAAGCATCTGATGCTGCCCCTACAGAAAGGGGGTTACTATTTATGGTACCTGGGACGGTCTCTTGCAGGGTTGATATCCCAAGGTGAGACACTTTGGTGGCTCACCTGGGGGGCGTGATCGCTAGGGGACAGAAAGGGAAGAGGGTTGGTAATGACTGGTTTGCAGGGCTGACATGGAAAGAGTAAGGGGGGTTTAGGCCGTCCAGATGCGGGTCATCTGGAACATAATCCAAACTACATATCGCTAACTTTTTTGTTTGTTTGTTAAATTGACAGCCAAAAGGTCCTCATAGCGCTAATTCTTATTCATATTAATATTAAATTCTAATTAAATTAAGAAATCAATCATGGAATATAAAAAGAAAAAAGAAAATTTTCCTAAGAAATGACAAAATATAGTAAATTATTTTAAAATAAAATCAAGATATCATAAAAAAGATTTATATATGAATCAAGATCATGATGCCGAAAGTGCATAAAAAAGTGACTAAGCAAAAAGTTAGGATACGACAAAAGTGTAACGTTCTTAATTTCTATTAACAAAATTCAACTCCTAGGGTTATAAGCACCATTTTATAGACTAATTACAAATTGATCAAAATTTAAAATTTAAAATACTAAAAACAAGGGAAATTCTTAAAATAAATTTAGCGGTAATTAACTCCTAAAAATAAATAAACAATTACAATTAAATCATTAAAAACATGTCCTAAATCTTAGATATCAAATCATGCTAAATGCGTGTTTTTCTTTTCTTGTCAAACAAATCACAATCATATATGATGTTTCATTTGAACTTGAATTTGATCGTAATTTATTATTTTTAAATTAATGCTTCTTTTAACAATTGAATCATATTTATTTGGCCATAAATGTAATTGACTTTGGGCTTCTTGAATTAATGGTTAAACCATATGCAATAGGCAAACTGTAAGTGCATCAGATCATTTTACAATTGGTATAAGCTATATTCTAAATCTTAAATGTTAATCCTATTTATATTTTAACAGTTCTAACTTTTTAATTATATATGTTAGCCATTTTGTGCAAGTAAATCGAAGTTCAAGAATAAATGTAACATTTTTTTATTTTTACACCGTTGTATAAGTAATCTGCCCTATATATTCTAACATAACTTAATTACAGCATAGTTCTCTTATGCATTCTGGGTCTTTGTTTTAGTTAATCGGCCCAATCAGTTTGTGAATTCTGATTAACAACTCGTAGGACCAAATATAATTTTTCAATAGGTACGGAAATGTGGGGTTGGAAACTGGCAAAAGCTATAAGAATGCATATAATATTAATGTTTTCAAGAATTATGTCGTCTTTTCTTCCTATATTTTGCTTGAATGTAGGTTCTCATTTTTGCATTTGCTATCATCATTATTATTTTTTAGAAATATTCAAATCCATTCGTCGCTTCGCGACTAGTCCGATTTAGGGCGAATTTAGGATTAAGATTTTAAACTTATTTCAAAGGTGGTATTGGGAAGGATCAAAGACATATTCTCACTCCACCTATTCAGCTTCACCAACTAAGCTATCACTATTTGGTCTATCATTATTGTTATTATTATTTGAAATATCATTACAACGCATATTGTATTAATGTTTTCAAGCTACGTGATTGAAATTTAGGGGTCTCCTTACACCATTCTTTCTTATTGAATCATGTATCTTGTTTAACAAATTTAGATTACAACAATACATTGAATTTATTAAAAAATAAGTTAAGGATAAGGATTTCAAAATAGAATAAAATGAAGAAATATGAGTAACAATTTTGAAAAAGAAATTGTTTGTATTTCACAATGTATAAAATTTTATGAGGGCATTTTTAAGACGACACTTTGGTACCCTAAAGGCTAATCATGTCCTAAATGTGAGATAAAAGTATATATAATCCAGTTATATAAAAAGCTTAGTTGTATATTAGTGTAAGTCATGTATTATGTAATTGAAATAATTATATTTTCTGACGCATCACTTCAGAACACGGATATTACTTAGTAATATTGCAAAATTTCCCAATAGAAATGCTCACTACTACTGTTGTCGTTCTTACATTCTGTTGTCTTAGTTCTGGAGAATCTAAGGTTGCCTTTGATACATGATAAGTGTTGGGAAATCAGTTCCCTCAAGCTCGTTGATACAATACGCGAAATTGTATCTGACCAGAGAGAGAGAATTAACAGGAAACAGAAAACAATTCTTTATTCATGATGGCCATTGTGTGTACAGTCATTGTATTATATAGTGGTCAATACCCACTTGAATGAAACACTATACATCAGGTTATGCTAACTAACAGTATACAATAGAATCAACTATTAAAATGGACCTTTCACTAACTCTATACAACATAGTCTTTTGTCCATATAGGTTCCTTTCTCTTCCTTATAGGCCTGCTATCTTCACATGTAACAACAGCCCCATCTTCAAAAGTAACCTTGTCCTCAAGGTGTAGGGAAGGGTAAACTTTTTGAAGCTCTCTCACGGATTCCCATGATGCATCTTCAGGAACTGTTTGAGACCACTGGACCAAGACTTGCTGCTGATTTCTGCCTCTGATGGGTACTGTTTGAGAATTCAATATTGCAATGGGAACTTGGACAGGTTTGTTCTCCATGCTCTCAAAAGGCAGAGGTGAGGCACTAAGAGTTGATGAACCATGAAAAGGTTTCAAGCTTGAAATGTGGAAGGTAGGATGGATTTGACTACCTTCCGGTAACTTCAGCTGATAAGCAACAGAGACAATGACTTTCTGAATTGGAAAGGGGCCAAAATATCTCTTAGCAAGCTTGTGGTTTGCTCTCCTTGCAACTGATAATTGTCTATAGGGCTGAAGACGCACTAGAACCAGATCACCTACTTGAAAAGTGTGATCTCTACGGTGCCTATATGCTTGAAGCTTCATGCGATGTTGAGCACGTTGCAAGTTGAGCTTGAGACTTGCTAATACTTCATCTCTCTTCTGAAGTAAAGAGTCCAAAGCCTCTATTTTGATCAAGCCTCTTGGATACATAGGGAACATCACTGGTGTTCTCCCATACAGAGCCTGAAATGGTGAAGTATTAATGGAAGAGTGAAAAGAGGTATTATAATGCAACTCTGCCCAGCAAAGATAGGAAGACCAAACATGATTCTGTTCTGAACAAAAAGCTCTAAGGTACTGTTCAATATATATGTTGGTCACCTCAGTTTGGCCGTCTGATTGAGGATGATAAGCTGAGGTTGCATGGAGTTTTGTACCACTCAACTGAAATAATTTCCTCCAAAAATTGCTCAAAAATACTGGATCACGATCAGAAACTAAGGATCTAGGAAATCCATGAAGTTTCACAATCATGTTACAAAACAGATGAGCCACTGTTGCAGCAGTGTAAGAAGTAGGTAATGGACCAAAATGTCCATATTTCGTGAGTCTATCAACCACAACTAAAATGGTGGTAAATCCTTGTGACTTTGGTAAGGCCGTAATAAAATCCAAAGTTAAATCATCAAAGAGAGCTTCGGGAATGGGCAATGGATTTAACAATCCCAATGGAGCTTGGGTAGAAGTCTTCACCTGTTGACAAATGGTGCATAAAGTGATGAAATCCTGGACTTCCTTGCGCATGTTCTTCCAAAAGAAGGAAGCTGAGAGTCGAAGGAAAGTCCTCAAGACACCTGCATGGCCTCCCAATGGTGTGCAATGGGCTTCAGTAATGAGAATGGCCTTAAGTTGGGATTGTGTACCCAACATGAATCTGTCCTTGTGAAACAGAATGCCATCTTTACATGTGATGAAGGGGTCCTTGTTTGTACCATTAACCAATGACTGATGTATAGTCAATAGGTCTTGGTCTGACAAATTTTCGGACTTAATTTGATTAATTAAATCAAATTTTGGTTCAGATACCAAAGCTAGAACCGTACCTTGCACCATGTCATCATGTTGTCTTGATAAAGAGTCTGCCACCACATTGGAAAGTCCTGTTTTATACTCAATGCTGAAACTATAACCAAGAAGCTTAGACATGTACTTTTGTTGTTCAGGAGTCTGAATTGTTTGGGTGAGCAATTGTCTCAAGCTTTGATGATCTGTCCTTATCACAAAATGAGAACCTAGGAGGTAATGTCTCCACCTCTTGACAACCTCAGTTAGTGCATATAACTCTCGGACATAGGTAGAAGCTACTGCCATTTTCACCCCCAATTTCTTACTAAAAAATGAAATAGGCTTTCCCTTTTGTAACAAAACAGCCCCTACTCCAGAATTTGATGCATCCGACTCAATGACAAAAGAAGAACTAAAATCTGGAAGATTTAAAACAGGTGTGGTGGACATGGCCACTTTCAACTTTTGGAAGGATACATCAGCTTCAGGAGTCCATGAAAATTTGTCCTGTTTCAACAGTTCAGTTAGTGAATGGGCTATTGAAGCATAATGTTGTACAAACCTCCTATAATATCCTGTTAAACCAAGAAAAGCCCTTAGTTGCTTGATGGAATGAGGTATAGGCCAGTCTGTTATTGCAGATAGCTTCCTTGGATCAGCCTTCACACCAGAAACAGTCACTACATGGCCCAGATAGGCTATCTCCTGCACACCAAACTCACATTTACTGAGTTTAACAAAAAAAGAATGTTGTAATAAGCACCTCAGGGTAATTTCCAAATGTTGGACATGTGCATCCATGGAAGAGCTGTAGATCAACACATCATCAAAGAAAACCACTATAAATTTGCGCAAATAAGGTTTGAAAATTTTGTTCATTGCCGCTTAAAAAGTAGCCGGTGCATTTGTTAATCCAAATGGCATGACAGAAAATTCGTAGTGACCTTCGTGTGTTCTAAAAGCGGTCTTGTGAATATCTTCAGATTTCATGCGGATTTGATGATAACCCGATCTCAAATCCAATTTGCTAAAAACTGAAGCTCCAAATAGTTCATCCAACAACTCATCTATGGTTGGAATTGGGAAAACATCCTTGACTGTTATGGAATTAAGAGCACGGTAATCTATACACATGCGCCAACTATTATCCTGTTTTCTCACCAATAAAACTGGTGAAGAAAAAGAACTATGGCTGTATTGGATGAATCCCGAGGCTAACAAGTCATTGACCTGTTTCTCAATCTCCTCTTTTTGATGATGAGGATATCTATATGGCTTAACAGCAACAGCTTTCGAATTTTCCACTAGTTGAATAGCATGATTCATGTCTCTGTATGGTGGCAATGAATTTGGAATGGAAAATACTATGCTGCAATTGATTAAAACTGACCATAAAGCAGGATTAATCTTTTCCTTTAAAGCATGTAATTCTGACATTACCTTTGCTTGAGCCTCCTCAATCGGTTGCAGTGATAGAGTATGACAATCACCTTGCATCCTTGCTGTTAATGACTCTTCTCCTTGTTGTTGACAGCCACTCAATTCGATTGGTATGCCCTGCCATATGAATTCCATAGACAAATTATTGTAGTCATGTGTGACCTTGCCTAGCTGAGTTAACCAATGCATTCCTAGAATTACATTCAGGTCACTCAACTCAATAACCCACAAGTTAGTGATGAATCCATGGCCTTGAATTTGGAGTTTGACATTAGGACACTTTCTGTCACAAAGAAGAAATTCTCCACTTCCCATAAAGACTCTCATCTTGGAAGACTTGGTCATAGGCAATTGAAGTTCCTCAGCAAGCTTTCTTCTAATGAAGTTATGAGAGCTTCCAGAGTCTACTAACACATTAACTACTTGATTCGCAATACTGGCCTTCAACTGTATTGATCTCGGGTTATTACTCCCTGACAGAGAATGCAAGGTTGCATCAATTCTGGTTCCCTTGGTTTCTTCCAAACCCCAAACTATCTCTTCTTCTTGCTCTTCACCCGAATCTTCTACTTCACCTATAAGAAGCATCATCTTGGCCTTGCATCGATGTTTAGCTGTCCACTTTTCATCACATGTGAAGCATATACCCAGTTCTCTTTTCTGTCGAATTTCCTCAGGGGACAGCTTTCGAACAAGTACTGTAGGTGGTGCTGGTAAAGCAAGTGTGCGGGATGATTGAATAGCTAAAGGAGTAGGTTTGTCAATTTTAATTGGTGAGTGGGGACGATGAAATGGTTTCTTGGTATGATTTGTATGATTTGTGAACGATGAACGAAGCTCAGAATGATGGGTATCATAAGCTAATGCTAATTGCATAGCTTGATGCAAACTAGTGGGCCAATGCAACTGAATTGCTCCCTGGAGATCAGGTTGCAATCCCGAAATGAAAAGAACCATTAAAAGGTTATCACTGAGATCATGAACCTGATTCAGCAATCGTTGAAATTCACGCATATAATCTGCCAAGGAACCATTTTGGGTCAATTTGGCAAGAACTCCTCGGACATCTCTGTAATGTGACGAACCAAAGCGTTGTCGCACAGCCGTAGTGAACTCCTCCCATGTCTGTACAGTACCGCTATTAAAGATCCATTGAAACCAATCTCCGGCAGCGCTGTTCATCTTCAACCCTACGATCTGAACCTTGAGATGATCCGGAGTCTGTTGGAGACGAAAAAACAATTCGGATTTGAAGATCCAATTGTTAGGGTCTTGACCCTCAAAGGAAGGGATCTCCATCTTCATAAAACGCAGAGATCCTCGATCATCAGAACCCATTGGTGACTGGTGGTGGTTGAACTGCGATTGGGGATTTGTGGGTTGTGTTTGAGGAAAACGAGACATAAATTCTCTGAGTTGTGTCTCCATTGAAGCAAATCGCATTTCAATCGACTCATTCACCTGATCTAACCGCTGATGAACCTGATCCCGGTGAGTGTTGAATTCTTCGGCCAAGTCTTGAACCCTCATGATGGATGGGTCAAAATGGAAGCACCAGTTGATACAATACGCGAAATTGTATCTGACCAGAGAGAGAGAATTAACAGGAAACAGAAAACAATTCTTTATTCATGATGGCCATTGTGTGTACAGTCATTGTATTATATAGTGGTCAATACTCACTTGAATGAAACACTATACATTAGGTTATGCTAACTAACAGTATACAATAGAATCAACTATTAAAATGGACCTTTCACTAACTCTATACAACATAGTCTTTTGTCCATATAGGTTCCTTTCTCTTCCTTATAGGCATGCTATCTTCACATGTAACACTCAGCTTCACAACTTTTACGGAAGTCAGTGAATAAGATTCTGGATCTCGGATCTCGACAATTACCTCGCCCTGAACTTCACCAGGTCGGGCAGCGCAGCGGAAAAATGAAATATAAAGAGGAGAGAGAAAGAGAGAGAAGGAGAACACAAATAGTTTTAACGTGGGAAAACTTTCTCCAATGAAAAAGTAAAAATCCACGGGACCTAGTCCAGTTCAAACATCCACTATGAAAATAATGGGTACAAAGAATCAAGATTCACCAAAGTGGTGGTTAACTCAACCTCTCCAACAATGGTGATAATCAAACTTTTCTAAAGATGTTTCACTCAAACTCTCTCTAGAGATCTCTCAAAATACAAAGCTCAAAGCTTTGCTCACAAATCTCTCAAATAAAATTCTTTCTCATTCTAACCTAGCCTCCACCCTCAACTAATGAATATATAAAGGAGGTGGAATCTAGGGTTTAGGGTTTTTAGGAAACCCCTCAATGGGCTTGGACTTAGCATTGAAGGAGGAAACCCAACAAATCCCCCCCTCCAACTTCAATGTGTCGGCTTCAGCATCAACCCGGCTCCTTCACAGCAGTCTTCAAACTTTCTTGTTGGAACCGACTTCGTCATCATGTCGGAACAATTTTGGTCAGTGTGCAATTTGACGAGTTCGAGCTCTCCACCTTCCACCACATCCCGGATCCAGTGATACCTCACATCAATGTGCTTACTGCGGGAGTGATAAGTCAAATTCTTGGCAAGATGGATTGCGCTTTGATTGTTACAACCCAGCTCGTACTTGTCTTGATCATGGCCGAGTTCCATGAGGAACTTCTTCATCTACAACATATCTTTGCTTGCCTCAGTCGCGGTAATATACTCAGCCTCGATTGTCGATAGTGCAACACATTTATGAAGTCTTGATTGCCAAGAGACAGCTCCTCCAGAAAATCTCATCATGTATCCCGTCGTCGACTTCCTCGAGTCAGAATCTCCTCCCAAATCAGAATCCGAGTAGCCTTGCAACTCGGCTTTGCCTTCTCCAAATCGGAGAAATAAGTTGGTTGTACCTCGGAGGTACTTGAAGATCCACTTCATTGCTTCTCAGTGCTCTTTGCCGGGGTTTGACAGATACTGGCTCACCATTACAACAACATATGCCATGTCAGGTCTAGTGCAAACCATTGCATACATCAAGCTTCCGATGGCGGATTGGTACGGGATCTTCAGCATCTCGTCTTTGTCTTGATCAGATCTCGGACATTGCTTCTGGTTCAGCTTTATGTGTTCGTCTAGGGGGTGCTCACTGTTTTGGCTTTGTCCATGCTGAATCTCTTCAGAATCTTCTCAATATACTTCTCTTGACTCAGCCACAATAGCTTCTTTTGTCTATCTCGGATAATCTTGATTCTGAGAATCAGCTTTGCAGGGCCGAGGTCCTTCATTCCAAAGGACGAGCTCAACGCCTTCTTCAGGGCGGCTATTCTCGATTTTTCTTTCCCTACAATAAGCATGTCATCAATATATAACAACAAAATCAAAAAATCTCTGCTCTCATACCTTTTCACAAATATGCAGTGGTCGGCTTCTGTCTTTTTAAACTTGTGATCAGTCATGAATGATTCAAACTTCTTGTTCCAATGCCGAGGTGCTTGCTTTAAGCCATAGAGGCTCTTTTTCAACTGATATACCATTTCTTCTTGGTCTGGAGCTCGGAACCCCTCAGGTTGTTCCATATATATCTCTTCTTCTAAATCACCGTGAAGAAATGCCGTCTTCACATCCATTTGATCTACCTCGAGGTCCATCGAAGCCGCCATGGCTAACACGGTTCGGACCGAGTTCATTTCCACCACATGTCCATTCTCTTCGTTCTTAATCTTGTAGACCCATTTATTTTTCAAAGCTCGTCTTCTTTTAGGCAACTTGGTCAGCTCATAAGTATGATTTTCGTGCAGAGACTTCATCTTGTCTTGCATTGCCTTTTCCCATTCTTCTTTTTCTGAGCTCGTCACAGCCTCATCATAACTCTGAGGCTCACTGTCTTAAGCTACAACGGTGTATTCATCAGATGAGTATCTTGTAGACAGTCTTCTTTCTCGAGTTGGATATCTCGGTTGTTCTTCATCTTGAGAACCCGGTTCATCATTCTCATCCTGAATCTAATCATCAACTCAGACTTTAGTGTCTTGGTCATCATCAGCTTGTTGTTGGTCATCAATTTCTTCATTTTCTTGATCTTCTTCCCCTGCTTCAGCTCATACAGGAGGGATGGGTTCTTCACGTCTGACAGTAACGCAGACTTTGGGCTTCGAGATGTCATGAATGGTCTCATCTTCATGAAAGATCACATCTCAGCTTCTCACTATCTTCTTATTGATTGGATCCCAAAGTCGGAACCCGAGCTCACATCTCGGCCAATCAAGATAAATGTATTCTTTAGTCTTCTCATTGAGTTTTCCCTTTTATCTTTAGGGATATGCACGAAAGCTCGGCATCCAAACACCTTCAATTGATTATAGGCCGCTTTCCGATCTGTCCAGACTTCTTCTGGAATCTCTCCTTCAAGTGGCCGTGATGGTGAGAGGTTGATCAAGTCAACAGCAGTTCTGAGGGCTTCTCCCCAGAATGATTTCGGCAATCCGGCATTGGATAGCATACTTCAGACCTTCTCTTCAATAGTCAGGTTCATCCTCTTAGCAAGTCCATTCCATTGTGGAGTCTTTGGGGGCGTCTTCTCAAGTCGAATCTCGGACACTCTGCAGTATGCATCAAAAGGGTCGCAATACTCACCACCATTGTCAGATCAGACCACCTTCAATTTCTTGTCAATCTCCTTTTCAACCATAGCATGAAACTCTTTAAAGAATTGGAGTACCTGGTCTTTAGATTTCAAATAATAAACCCCCACTTTGCGGGAGTGGTCATCAATAAATGAAACAAAGTACTGAGCTCCTCCAAGGGATCTTTTCAACATGGAGCAAACATCAGTATGGACGAGGTCAAGAATATACCTGCGTCTTCTGGGTTGATCTGATTTCACAAAAGAAACCCGGTGCTGCTTTCCAGCTAGGCAGTGCATGTAACTCTCCAACGCTTGGCCTTTCAACCCGATTAATAATCCTTTCTTGTGCAGGATTTGGAGCCCTTTCACACTCATGTGGCCGAGGCGCTTGTGCCATAACTCCAAGCTAGGTCCATCTCGGACAGAATTGGCTTCTCCGCCATTGATCTTTCCTTGCATCACGTACAAGGAGCCTTCCTTCTTACCTCGGGCAACAACCAAGTTTTCCTTGGCTAGCTTCCATTTAACACTCCCAAAGTAGTTCACTAACCCGGCGTCATCAAGCTTGCCTACCGAGATTAGGTTCAATCGTGCGTCAAGAACATGCCTTACATCTTTCAACACAAGTCGGCACCCAATATCCGTGGTCAGGGTCACATCACCAACACTAACAGTCTTGCTGGTCACTTGATTTTCCATCTTCACGACTCCAAAATCACCACCTAGGTAAGAGGAGAAAAAACCTTTGTGTGGAGTAACGTGGAAGGAGGTACCAGAGTCAACAATCCAGGTGCAGTCATCATATGCAACATTCAAATAATTATCCTCACCTAGGAGGAAAATCTCGGCATCCGAGTTGGCAGCCACAACAGTGGTGCTCTTGTCTTCCTTTTTCTTGTGAATAATCTGATCCGGCTTCAAGAGCCGTTCTTCTCATCATTCTGCAGGGTCTAGCAGGCTGGCTTCTTATGACCTGTCTTTCCACAGTAGAAGCACTTCAAATTATATTTCGGCTTTAACCAACCTCTGGACTTTCCTCTTCTATCACGATCTCGACCCCAGCTCTTGCTTCTGCCTCGGGAGTCGGATTTCCCCTTGTTCTTAGCAACGTTGGCCTCAGACGTGCTCGAAACACCTCGTTCTCTTCTCCTGGCTTCTTCGTTCAGGAGGCTGGCTGTCACGACATCCATCTTCAATTTTCCATCTGGAGTCGAATTACTCAAGGTCACCATCAGAGTATCTCAACTTTCTGGCAGCGAGCTCAACAGCAGCAAAGCCTGCATCTCGTCATCAATTTTCATCTCAGCCTTTGACAGCTGATTCACAATACCTTTGTAGGTGTTGAGGTGTTATATCATGCTCATGCTGCCCTTGTATTCCAGCTTCACAAGTCGGCGAACCAGGTGTGCTTTGTTCCTGGGAGTCTTCTTTTGAATCATGGACTCCAGCTTCGTCCACAACTCGTACGCGTTCGTGAACTCGGACACGTGCTCAAAGAGACTTTTGTCAATGTATTTTCTAATTGTAGCGACCGCCTTACGACTCTGGATCTCTCACTCCTTATCGGTCTTGCCAGCCGGTCTCTAATCAAGGATAATGGGCTCATGTAAATCTTTACAGTAGAGATGATCTTCCATCATCGGTCTCCAATACATGAAATTGTCTGCTGTCAGCTTGAACATATGCCACTGGTCTCCATCTCGTCTCCCTCAGAACCCGTCGAACTCGGGCTCTGATATCACTGTTGGGAAATCGGTTCCCTCAAGCTCGGCTTCACAGCCTTTATGGAAGTCAGTCAACAAGATCCTGGATCTCGGATCTCGGCAATTACCTCGGCTTGAACTTCACCAGATCGGGCAGCGCGGTGGAAAAACGAAAATATAAAAAGGAGAGAGGGAGAAAGAGAACACAAACAGTTTTAACGTGAGAAAATCTTCTCCAATGAAGAAGTAAAAACCCACGGGACCTACTCCAGTTCAAACATCCACTATGAACATAATGGGTACAAAGAATCAAGATTCACCAAAGTGGTGGTTAACTCAACCTCTCCAACAATGGTGATAATCAAACTTCCCTAGAGATGTTTCACTCAAACTCTCTCTAGAGATCTCTCAAAATACAAAGCTCAAAGCTTTGCTCACAAATCTCTCAAATAAATTTCTCTCTCATTCTAACCTACCTCCACCCTCAACTAATGAATATATAGAGGAGGTGGAATCTAGGGTTTAGGATTTTTAGGAAACCCCTCAATGGGCTTGAGCTTAACATTGAAGGAGGAAGCCCAACAATAAGGACATTATAAATAGAATAATACAACACAAATAATTAAGTTATATGATAGTTTGTGAACAAAGAAACTTATAATATCTATTGATAGAATAATTACTATTATTATTTTTTAAATATCACTTTTTTTGCATATTGTTTTGCGTGCAATAAGGTTAAGATAATGAAGGAGAAGCTTTTTTTTTTGTCTTTTTCTACTTTTGTTGTGTGAGTTTGTGACCAAGGTTGTTGAATCGTAATATGTATTGTATATCATTAAGCCAATTTTTTGTATTGTGTATCATGAATTGTATCGAATAGTAAGATATAAAAAATAATGAAAAAGAATTAAAAAATATATAATATTATATAAACCTAAATTCTAAAAAGAATTCAATCAACAAAATACATAAGTAACTAAAATTCAAATAAGTTATTCTCCTACTCATCAATTATTAGGACTAATATTATCACTATGGGCATCTATTGGTGACATAACTAATACTAATTTTTGCTGATTGATTTTTGAATTTAAATTACAAATCAAATCTTTATTTTCTTTTTCTTATTAATAATGATTTTTCAAGTTTTTTTTTAGAGTAAACACTATTTTTGGTCTCTGGCAATATCTACGAAATCCTTTTTAGTCCCTGGCAATAAAAAAGGACCAAATTGGTCCCTAACAGTATGTAAAAAGGGCCACGTTAGTGACGGAGGAGTTGACATAAGGACTAATGTGGCCCTTTTTTCATAATTTTAGGGACCAATTTGGTCCTTTTTTATTGCCAGGGACTAAAAAGGATTTCGTAGATATTGCCAGGGACCAAAAAGAATGTTTACTCTTTTTTTTAATTAGAATCACAAATTACATCTTTATATACTTTTCCCAAGTAATAGACTTTAAAAAAAAATTCATATGAAAATTGTCAATTTTGATTTGATTTTCATATCGTAAAATACACGATTCGATACTGTATTGTGCAATGTAACGACACACAATCTGATACAACCAACCAATATATATCGCGGAGATATGAATCGTATCGTATCACATTATACGTATGGTTGGTATGGTTGCGACTGATATTTTGTAACCTATTTTAGCAAGTAACCAAAATTTAAAGATTTATGTTTTCTCCTTAAATTACTATTTGTTGTGCAGTCGTTACTTATTCTTTAACATATCAAACACACCCTAAGTCTTCGATTGGTTCAATTCTACAGAATAATAAATGTAACAAGGTGCAAGCTTTATGGAATAAGGTGTTGAATCATATTTCGTCATTTTACTTTTGTCACTCTCATATTTCCAGTCTGTGTGGTCATAATAATAACTCAAGTCGTGAACAAACTCGGACCAAAAACATATCAAGGGACGGGGAAAATAATAATTAAGGGGGTATTTGGTAGAGGAAATTCCGAGAATATGGCGAAAAAATGAGTTTTTTGGTAATGTTATCAAAGTTGTTTGGTAGACCAAAATATTACCGGGATTTTTATCAGAATTTTCATATCTAATTTTCAATTTTCCTGGGAAAGTGCGTGGTATTTTTGGGTGGTTTATATTTTACACATAAAATAAAATTCAGAGAAAATCACATTTTTAAATTATTATTTTTTAAGAGATCTTCTATCAAATATAGATAAATTAGGTTACCACCCTCACCTTCCCGGCAATCTGAAAATAAACTCTCTACCAAACACTCTTTAAGGAAAATCAAAGAAAACACAGAGTGAATGGAATTTTTTTTTTTTTTTGGTATAACAACCCTAACTACCTTTTTAGAAGAGTTAGCCGCCCGACTCGAAATTAATCTCATTACCAGCTTAAAAACTTGAAACTTGGAGATACCCAGGTAAGTGAAAATTTAAATGAACAATAATAATTTATAGTATAATTAATGAACTTAAAAATGACATTGGAAAAACGCTTAATTTGTTTAAACTACTTTAGTTTTTAATTAAAACAACATTTATAAATTAATATTTAACTTAATTGCTTTTTGAAACTGTTTTCTCAATGCTCTAGCAACTCACAACATGAAGGCTTTATACTCTCTTTTTATTTTATCTTTTACTATAAAATTAAGCACATTTTTTAAAACAATGATAAATATGCAAATTAAATCGTTTTTCCTTCTTCTATTTGAAATTTATTACAAAACTTGGACATATTTAGGACTTAGTTATTACTTCTTAACTTTCAAGTTCTGGAACAATCAGGAAGGACAACGCGTTGACGATAGACGATAGTATCATATCAAAGTCAGTGATATATAGCATTTAATAAATAATGATTAGACTAAACAAAATAAATCTTGGTCCGAAACCAGGCCAAATTTAGCAATCTGAGATAAACACTTCCAAATGTCTATACCAAAAGAAAAACATATAGAAAGCTCTAGCTGCTACATCAGGATTGAATATCAGGCAGCATTCAGCATGCAGCAGTAACTATAATGGTAGTTGACATTAGGCTCGTCACTTTGGAATGCCAACTCTTCTGACCTTACTGGGTTTGGAAAGAGACTCTTGAGGGTTGTAGTTTTAATCCAGTCAGCCACAGAGATAAACCTATCATTCACCATCTGTATGGATCCTAAGATTCTTGTACTTCTAATAGTCTTCCTCATGAAGGGCAACATTCAAGTCAAAAAGGGGTCTCCCTCCCTGCTCTGTCTGTGGTTCCAAGTCATTCTGATTGTCTCTATTATTGTCACCATCTGTAGAAGGGGAACGTGAGTAAAGAAAGAGAAAACTCCACACAGGAGAGAAAGAGAGATTTACCTGCTATGCTTGTGGTAAAGTTTTTGTACAGTCTTAAAGCATCAGGTAACATCAAAATATTGTAGGACAATACGTCTCTCTTCAACTCTTGGCACATCTCTTTAAAGCCGTACTTGCGCTTCCACATCTCAGTAGTCTTCCGAAAAGATGGAAAGATCAAGTTTTCAACTTTAAGACTGCACAGGAACTGGAAAAGGAAGGCCTGACCATTAGAAATTGTCTAGGTATATAGAATATTGTTATGAATGGCATTGATAGCAAACTAACTAGGGGGAAATTGGGGAGTTGTTTTAAGATCCTTCTATAATCTCTACATAGATTATACACGACTGAATGAATATTCGATAAGAGATCATGGGACTTTGATAACCACTTACCGATTCAATTACAGTCAGTAATGCCCGGGAAATTCCTTGGCGCCTGTATGCCTCTTCTGTGGCAATAAAAGGCATTTCTGCAATCCTCCTACCATGAAATCTATAGAGGCAGGAAGTAACAATTGAATAACAGTATGTATCACAGTCTTCGTTAACACAAAACAAAATTATAAATCTTTATTTCAAGGGCAGAGAGCATCTGAGCACGAGGAGCATTGCAAAGTTACAGTCTTACAGGAGTGTTCACAAACTCAATAACCAAAAAAGTTGGAAAGATTAACAAACAAAAAAAGGATACCTTACACAAGCTGCTGCGATGATCTCGTCATCTTTCTCCAGGATAAATGTATAAAATCGGCTAAAATTAATCCTGGATAAGTTTGATCTGAATAGTAAATGACAGCAATTGATCAAATGGTTGTATTCTTGATACTTATATGAAAAGTAGAAGACTATTAGCGTAATTAGAAAGTTTTGAATGGAAATACAAATTAATGGCAGCAGCAGTAACGAGTTACATGCTTTAAGACAGGGAAAACTAAGCTTTGCAACAATGTGGAATTATACCATCAATGTGCTTACCCTCGACTGTAAACTATACTTTCAACCAGATTGATGCCTGTGTGCCGGTCAATTATTGTGTTAAAAGCTTCATTCATTAACATCCAAGTAGCTGCAACCTTTGAATTATTTTCTATATGTGAGTTCCTAGCAGCAGAGACCACCTTGGGGGTCATATCCATTTGGCGGATAACTCTCCAAGAGTATCTTGCAAAGACATCATTTCTGGTTCCAAGTGAGCTTTCCAATTTCTCATAGATCTTTCAGAAAGCACATAGTCAAAATTCTAAATGTCATGCAAAAAACACAAAAATAATATCTTCCAAAAATAATATTTGATGCACAAATCATAGAGAAAGAATATGTACCTCTCTGCAACCTGGCCCACAATATAATCTTGAACAGTTAAGGTCCAGCGTTTCTTTTGAGAATTCTTTTTCAAATTCTTTAAAGCACCCCCAGTGAACTACAAAAGCATGAAAAATGCTTTTTCAGCAACATCAATGGATTATGTCATATAAATTGGGGTAGGGAAAAAAAAATGAAAGGGGGGGGGGGGGGGGGGGGGGGGGGGGGGGGGGGGGAGCTGTGATATGCCAGTATGGAAAGCTTTAACCCACCACCCAGAATAGGAGACAAAAAACGAGATCGAAAGAAAAAGCTACATGGACCATGAGAGAAATCTTACACTTCTTGTCGCACTGAGAGCATGTGATGAATTCCTTACTATCCCCGCCAATTCCACAGTATTTGCATATGCAGTATGGACATAACCAATTGTTATGGGGAACCCTCTGTAATTAAAAAGGAAGAAATTGACAATAATTATGTAGACCATCAAATATATCTACACCAGAGTAACTGTTTCTATAGAAACATATGAAGACCATTTCCAGAAAAGAAAAAAAAAAATGATTACCTCCATATTCATACAAGATGGATGATATGTGGAGGGACACTGGTCACAACAGATTAATTCTCCCCCATCTCCGCAGATTGAACAAGCATCATCATTTTGGTCTGCAACACTTCCTTTTAGCACATACGAAAACCGACACCGGCGTTTTCGTTCCCTGGCATCCTGCCAAGCAGCAATCAGGCAGTCTTGGAGACATGTGCCTTTCTGGAGGAGATAAATATGTTCATATGGTTGTTTAAGATCACTTCCAGCATGCTTCTCAAAGGTCCACACTGATGTTTCCCTCTGGCAACAGCTGCAAAGTATTCCACCTCTAGTAATTCTTCCTCTCAAAGCTGCATATTCCTTTGTGCCATCCATATAGCACACTTGTTCATCTTCGTCGATTAGCTTATAATCTATCAACCATGACAAAATGGTTTTTTTACTCAACCTTACTGGTACAGGTGCAAGTGAATCTTTTTTCATACTTGCAACTAGTCTTTCAGGTGATGATGGACCTTTTTCCATTATTGAACTTGGTACCGGAATATTATTTTCCTTGTTTTTCTCTCCCTTTACCGCCCTCTTTTTGGAAATGCAACTCCGTATACCCTGTATGCCCCACTTTATAGACTCTACACTTTCCTTTTTTTGCTCTCCATTAGTCGCCCTCTTTTTGGATACACAACTCCGTGTACCCTGTATGCCCCATTTTATAGGCTCCACACTTTCCTTGTTTTGCTCTCCCTTTGCCACCCTCTTTTTGGAAAAGCAACTCCGTGTACCCAGTATGCCCCATTTTATAGCCTCTGCACTTTCCCTGTTTAGCTCTCCCTTTGCCTCCCCCTTTTTGGAAATGCAACTCTGTGTACCCTTTACGCCCCATCTTATAGGCTCTACTTCCTGTCCATCACCATGTCCACCTCTTGCAACGAAACCCACACTTGAGTCCATCATTTCTGTCTCCAATACTCTTGGACTGCATAAGGTTGTTTTTCTTCTTGTTGTTAGTCTAGTAGGGCTGCACCTTGAATTCTCTGGATCAGAACTGAACGAGTCACTTCCAGGATCACTTATTTCTATATAGTTTACTCTTTGATTGCGATGCCTAAGGGTGTCGGTCATGTTGTTGGTTCTAGTCATTGAAAGTTCTGTTCTGACCATGTCAATTGAATGTGCCAAAATATCTGTTACAGAATTAGTAAACAACTTAAGTGATCCCAAAGACTTGTTATGGCGATTAACAAATACCAATGAACATTTATGAACTGAAGAAATAAAAAAGAATAATAGGGAAAGAAATGGTCAAGAAAAAAGAAAATTCAAGCAAACATCATACTCAATACACAAATAAGCGATCCACTTTAATTAAATAGAAGTTGGTTCATTTGAAAACCAAATAGGTTATGATGGCGCAATCTATGCCAGAACAGATCTTAAAATTTGTACATCAATCAACAAATTCAAATAATGAACCTTCCTGCATACATAAATGAAGTCCGCGTTAAGTAGACTTCAATCAAGGAGATCTGAACACCTTGCCTAACAGGGGAAGTCGAATCATCTGCCACATAAAATCTCAACCATACCATAAATTGTTTCAGAGGAGAAAACATACCTTCAATTTGGAAATAAGATCTTTGCCCTAGATTCTTGATGCGAAAATTTTTATAGATTCCTTTGAAGTTTGAGCATTGGTCATTGCAGAAGTAAGTAACCAGTAAATCTATGAAATGCCTGAACAACTTGAAATTGCTAAAAGAAATTTTAGTTAATATCTCAACTCAATGAAGGAATTCAATTTATATATGGTAACAAGAATGGGAAAATCGATACCAGAGGAGACCGAGAAAGCGCTCTTCTCTTCGAGTGCTTTGAAAAATGATACAAATATGTCACGTTGTGAAGCAAGACACTGGGAAACAAATTCAGACTGCACACAGTCTTCTCCAGCTAGGTGTTTAGTGCTAACAGTGACTAAAACTTGAAAATTGTCTGAAAGTGGATTCTCTAAGGCAATTGTCCTAGGAAGGATACACTGTCAATGTTTTTATATAGAAGAGGACTTTCTCTTTCCTGTTAAATTAGATTTCTCAAAAATAATTGCAATTAAACTAGAATGTAGCACCAAATTGTATTGGAAAAATCCACAAAAGCATATAGTATTGCAAATCAGATAAAAAGTACAAATCCAATCAAAATGTCAACTGCAATTTATTTGGCCCTTGTTTGTGCTGACTCAACCCTTGTCAAATGCGTTTCCTGCATTCATTGTCTAGTTCATTATTAATTGTAAGCTTCACTGTGTCGATATATTATTAGATGCATTTTTGTTGCCTGGTCTTAGATAAGAATAAGATGGGAAACTTGTGTGATTTTTTGTATCCTATTATGCCATGTAAAAAGAGTATTTGTACCGTTGCATTCCTCTTTCTGCCATGTTAGACGGGCTTACAGAATTTGTGAAATGCAGTTTCTTATGTTCTACTATATTATAATGCAAACATAAGCACAAGGAGAACTTGTGGTTAAGTATTTTAAATCTTATTCAGAGCTTTGCCATTTCATCTGATAAAGTACAACCTGAGTAACACTAATTACACTTTGATTAGAATATGGCCCTTATGTATTGATAAAGGATAGAAAATAGAGGAAATCTTTTCAGACACTTTTTTTTTTACATATACAAAACTTTTTTGTATTGACTATATATATACAGGGTAAAGGATTCTCCAGTCAATGGAGATAAGTTATCTCCAGTGAGCACAAAACAACGTCGTTTTGGGACGGAAATCAGGATGTTTTTATAATTTTAATATATTGCAGGGTTATATTAGTCTTTATCATTATAATTTTTTAATTTTATAATCTCAAAACGACGTCGAGTTCACTGGATATAATTTTATCTTCGGTGACTGGAGAAATACTTTTTCCATATATATATTAATGAAGGATAGAAAAAAGAGGAATTCCTTTCAGACACATTTTCTACATATAATTTTGGTCATATCTCATATCTTCAAGGATATGTAGCTGCCCAAAGCTGTTTTGGACTGAGCAAGTACAAGAAGTCAAGAACTACTACAAAAAATTGCCTCCAAGTTAGTAACTCACCTTAATGGCATCCAAGGACTTTCCAACAAACTATAAAGCTACTGCTTCTTGCATTGATTATGTCATTGAAAATTGTTTAGTAACTGATTATTTCTTGAGGAAACTAGCTGAATAAACACCAATGTAAATTTTCATTGGTGAAGGAATGAAAATGATGGATGGGAGAGGGGATTGTGAAATGAGTAACTAGTTACACTAAGAGAAATTAGACATTGCTTTAAATCAACCATATATAATTAGTCGTTAATTAATTTAAAAAATTTGACAGAGTAAAAGAATTCGGTAAGTTATATAGCTTTACCATTTCACGCTGTTGTTTGGTTCCGTCGCCTTGGTTGTTGGATGTAATGTTGGAAGCATGTTGATGGATTCAATCGCAAGCTTTTACTGACAGGTACCAATTTTCCCAATTCGTACCAGTGGTTTGTGATTTTCCCCATCTGCATTAGGTTTTGAGATTCACCAAATAACATGAAACAGAGGAATTGATTGCGAATTTCAACTTGGGGTTTCTCAATGTCTTTGTATTTAACCAGCAACCCCAAACTCAAAATGGAAACCCGTGCACAGATAGCAACCCCAAACGCAGAATAGAAAAGCATCTTGATTCGAATCTCAATTTCGAAGAATCTGCTTCCCTTGTTGTTGAAGATGATATGCAAAATGAAGAACTGTTCTCGGCCAAGGTTAAGGCTTGAAGCTAAATCAACTTCTCAAGTTCTCAAATTTGGATTGGACAAACATAAAGCGAATTCAGCTTAACTGTTATGGTTTCCAGTGTAATTTTCATGTTATGATAATTAGATTGAGAAACGGAATTTTTTTTTATTTAATTTTGAGTCCTTTTTTTTTCTTTTTCATGTTATGATGATAATTCTTTCTCCCACTAATAATATATTGAATTGTGTGTCACAAATTTTATTTTTATTTAATGAATAATGGGGCCGTCACATCTTATGTTTATATTAAGATTTTTTTTACTATGATATTAGAATTATTTTCCCTTAAATTTTATATCTGACTTTATTTTATTTTTTTATTTATTTATAGAGATAGGTTATTTGTCTATTTATATTTTGCCTACTTTTACTTATTTTTTTCAATATTGTTAAATTATAATTTTGTTTAACGATAAAGATTTATAAGATAAAATCAATTATTTCATCCCTTTCTCCTTCTCATTATCTTTCATCGTTTCTCTCTCCTCGACTTCAGCAATCATCATAATCCTGAAACAATTTTGCGGTTTCTCTTTTTTGGCTTATCCAAATGAAAGTGATAATCGAAAGCCAAAAAGCTTTTTTTTCGTGTCAATCACAGGTAAAAGAAACGTAAGATACTAATCAATTAAACAAACAATCAAACTATCCTTGAAATTTTAATCATCTTTGCTTTTTCTTTTTTTGGTTACAATCTTTGCTATTTCTTTAATTTATTAGAGAAAAAAAAATCAAAATTCAAACTTTATCTGCCGGTGAGAGAAACTGGAAATTTACTACAAAGACTCACCACAGTCGATGATTTTATTATTATTTTCGATCTTGTTGCAGAAGAAAAGAAAAAAAAAGAGTGCGAGAGAAAGTGAGGAAAAAGAAGAAAAAAATTTATTTTATATTATAAATATTGATATTAGATAAGATTGTAATCCAACCATATTTAAAAAAGAAGACAAAATAATTTATTCCGAAATAAAATGCCATGCTGACATGTCCAAGAAGTAACGGTTGATGAGATAATATTAATTGTCGATAAAAAAAGCGGGGGTGATATCACCTCAGGAAAGTTCCTTAAATTGCGTATATAACATGTAGGCGTTATATTTGACAATGGTTAATGCAAATAATTATTTACGGTGAACCCAAAACGATATCGTTTTGAGACAGAAATTAAGGTATTTTTATAATTATAATTTATTTCAGGGTTACAATAGTCTTTTTTATTATAATTTTTTAATTTTTCAATTTAAAATGACGTCGTTTTGCGAGCGAATATAGATAATTTATCTACGTTCACTTTAGAAATATTAAAGTCATCATTTATATGTAGTAAAGAGGAAAAAAGATGAGAGAAAAATCATAAATATGATAGACCCACTTCATTTTTTTTTTTTTGAGACAGACAAAAAAAAATTTCCTTTGAAGCAAAAATCGGCCTTGTTTGAAATCAGTTTTTAAAATTCATTTTTGATTTTCAGAACAAAAAATAAAATAAAAAATTGTTTGATAAAGCCTGTTTTGTAAAAAAATTAATTAAAAAACTGTACTATTCTTTATTTTTAGAATTAAATTTAGACAACATGTATGAGTTATTTTTTTTTTGTTTTTAACTTTGAAAAATAAAAAATACCTATTTTCATAACTATACTACAAAACATTTTTAGAAAAAAAAAATCAGAACACAATCAAATAGGCCCGATATTTCCTACAATAAAAATATAATCTCTCAATGAAAAGTGAAAATAAAATAAATTCGAAAGATAAAGGAATACATTTATTTTTGGGTTCGTTTTTTCTGCAGTTACTGCATATAAGTTATCTGCAGTAAACCCAATATGACGTCATTTTGGGGCAGAAATCATGGTGTTTTTGTAATTTTAATTTGTTTTAGGGTTATTATAGTCTTTATAATTATAATTTTTTAATCTTTCAATCCCAAAACGTCGTCGTTTTGGAAGTAAATGCAGATAACTTATCTGCACTAACTGCAGAAATATTTTTCTGTTTATTTTTTTATAAAATAATCAAGATTAGTATTAAATATAAATTACTCTTTCTTCATTTTTGTTTTATTATTCCCTTATTTTATTAAATTTTGTGATATTGAATTTATTTATGAATCGAAAAATAATAAGTATTGTATTAAATAACATGTTTAAAATTTCCATTTTGAATATGAATTTTTGGTAATAATAAATCTTATCATTTTCAAAATATCTTTATCACTTTTGAATTAATAAAAAAATTCAAAATCAAAATTTTAAAGTTTTTGTCCAACAACGTTGTACAAAATAGATTTTCAAATAAAATCTTAAACTTTTTAAAAATAAATTATTCCTATTCAATAAATATCTAAATTAATGTTTTTTTATAGATTACTATCTAAAGAATGTTTAAGAAATTTTAGTTTTTAATTAAACTTTTATTTATAATCTAATAACTTAATGGGAAATGATTGTCTTCTGTTACATAAATGTTTTCTTTTCTCCTATACAGACATCGGACCTCACGCTTTGCTTTTATTTTTATTTTTTTAAAAAAACTTGTGAGACCCGTTTATATGTCTCATTAGGAAAAAAAACATATCACCTGTGAAATAAGAAAATGCAATCCCTAACTTAATTGCTTTTGAAAAGTGTTAGCTCTTGCCACTCACAACATGAAAGATTGTGTCTCCTGTCACTCTCTTTTTATTTTTATTTTAATTAATTTGAATTAAACATATTTTTAAGAACAGTTATAAATTATGCAAATGAAATTATTTTCTTCTATTTAAAATTTAATACAAAATATAAACGAATTTATTATTTACTTATTACATGGTTTACTTTTGTGGCATAGCCATCCATCATATGCCAACATGTCAAAGTGCTAGCATAAACAAAAAACACTTGTTAAGATGATAGGCAATAGTATTACAGAAAGTTTATACTTATAATCTATTTTCATTTACAACATCTTATAATCATATCTTAATCGTTGATTTCTGTCAATCAACGGTTATGATTGATTGCAAATTAAATTAATAATTAATAAACGAGTTTAATTTGCGAAAATAATAACCGTTGATCAAAGTTAAGATATGATTTAAGAGATTATAAATAAAAATAGGTTGTAAATATAACATTCTTCGTAGTATTATATTAGAGTTAGAGAAACATATCTTTTAATTAATAATGATTAGATAACACAAAACAAATTTTGGCCCAAAACAAACCCTAATTTAGCCCTATAAAAGAGACAAGCACTCCTCAAACGTCTACATCACTACATTAGGGTTCTACACCAACCGCAGCTAATAGCTGTAATTACAATGGCTGATGATTTTATTCAATCACAATTTGCAAGGAGCTAGCTTCTGATCCGAAGTAACATTTAAATCTGGGAGTGGTCTCTCTGCATGCTCTGTCATTGTGGTTCTGGCCACTCTTGACTACTAGTTTGATTGTCTTCGGTGGATAGAAGGAGAAGAAAGAGAAAATGTTGATTCAATTGCTATACTTGTCAAAAAGTCCTTGTACAATCTTGAGGCATGAGGGAAGACTTTTTGGCAAGCATAGCAGGTGAATCATCTCTCTCATGTTCTTGCTTTGAGTTTTCTCTTTCTTCATTCTCATAGACAATCAAACTGAAAGTCAGAATGGAACCACAAACATAGCAGGCAAATACCACTTCTAGATTTGAATGTTGCTCTGATTAGGAAGATATGTAGAAGTACAAGAATCTCAGGATCCTTACCTACAACTGTCTCTTTTCAAACCCAGAATCAAAAGAGTTGGCATTCAAAGTCATCAGCCTATGTCAAACACTATTGTAGTTTTTATTATTTGTTGAGTTCTGCATGGTATTCAACCTTGATAATGACGAGAGTTTTCTCTGTCTTTCTTTAATCTGGAGAATATTTATGGCTTAGTTTTGAACCAAGATTAAGTTTATTAATATATGTTGTTAAGGGAGGTTTCATTTACATGTTTTTTCAATGATGAGATGTCGTATATATACAGAGACCGATTTTATTTTATTTTCAAAAAAGAGAATATTATGCCAACACTTACGGAAGGATCATCAATTGTGTTCTGTTCTTGGGATAGAGATGTCCAACCCAGTAGGCTGGTATGTTTCACTTAGATCTAGTGCCCTCTCCAAAGTATCTATGAATGAGATACCCTTGAGTCAAGCAGATCACTATGCACAGAATACTATAACGGCGTTAGCCAATGGGGTAACAGCGTGAGAGTGCGCACAATGACAACACAACAGTAAAAGATAGTGTAACGTACCTTTAGGGTTTACCTTGTATTTATAGAGGTTACCTATGGGTAGCGTGGATGGGCCTTTGGTGCCTCTGGTGAAGGCACATGCCTGCTTGCTATGCTGTCGTATTAGGATTAGTATCCTTAATGGATATATATCCCTTGTTAATATCAATCCGTATCTTAGATTTCCCTTTGTTGGGCTTACCACTTAATAGGCCCATCTTGGTCTCACTTTCTTATTGTACTTTGTCGCTGTTTGTTGTTTAGTCATCATATTCCGGCAGTGAGCTGTAACCTTAGCTTCGTCCACAAGATCTAACTCTTCAGTAAGTATTTTATTGTTTTGTTGTTCGCCTTGTTCAAGACTATTCAGTCTTCTCCAAGAGGGTTCTTCAACCTCCACTGGAATCATGGCTTCACATCCATACGTTAGTATGTAAGGGGTTTCCCCTGTTGCAGTTTGGGTACTTGTTCTGTAACCCCAAAGGACAAAGTACAGCTGTTGAACCCAGCTTTCTTCAGCATCAAACATCCGCTTTTTGAGACCGTTCACAATCACTTTGTTGGCTGCTTCGGCTTGCCCATTCGACTATGGGTGTTCCACAGATGCGAAGCGATGTGTGACTTGCAGGTCTTTCATTAGCTGCTGGAATTTCTTATCAGCAAACTGTGTTCCATTATCAGTGACCACCTCGGCTGGGATTCCGAATCTGGAAACAATGTTCCGTTCAAAGAACCTTTGTACTCTAGCCGAGGTGATTGTGGTGACTGGTTCTGCTTCTATCCACTTTGTGAAATAA